GCCTTACGAAATGCTGAGATGCTCAGCAATCTTAAAACACATGTTTGGTTTCTAGATACCGCTTTCATTTATGTCGTTTTCTGTCATTGGCCGGGCTGTAAACCGGGTCTTAACCTCAAGCATAATTTTATTTTGTGTTTGTGCATTGAAAAGTGTCAATTCTTCACTTAATTCCGAGACATAACCAATAACAATCGTTTATCTTTAAATTAAAGACATCACTTATCCTTGCTGTCATACATTTCCATTTTCCGGGAAAAATCGCGTGAACATTTCAATAGCTTCAACATTACTTATTCCATAAGCTTGAATTACCCATTACGTAGTGTTGCGATGAGTGCAGAAGGTTTACATTACAGGCTTTTCCACATTTTACTCGTTTCGACCACTCTTCCATTCCTCCGTCATTTGATTTTCTCAAATGTGTGTTGGGCATTTCGTGTGCACACAGATGCGGGAGGAAACGCAATACATGTGCATTTATGACTGTGTTTGTGCTGTGTGGTGTGGTGTGCGTTCGGCCATTTCCAATTGAATTTTTTGAATGTTTTTGTTGCTATTATGCTTCATGGAGCACATTTCAAATTGAACAACAATGGTATCAGCAGATGTTTTTTTAGGATGCGATCATTGATCACTACACACCTTTCACACTCGTGTTGATGCGTATGTATGCTTGTATACGGACCTCAAACCAATTATGAACAATTATTAACTGTTGCTTGTATTCTTTCGACTGAAACACTCTCATGGCAACATCAATTTGTCAGCAGCAATCTCATTGGAAACCAATCAATATTCATACATTTCCATAATTACGTATTGCTCAATCAATTTTACTAAGCTCATATCCGATTTGTGCAATAGGACAACAACAAATCATCAAGATTTTGCCAAACAGTTCAGGTCAACAGTTGAAGGCGATTTCAAAACATGCTATTCGCACTGCAGATGTCACGAAAGTAGTTACACAGGTAATTGAATCATACAGATGCAAAATAAATTATCCTCAATCATTCAATTAGATGAGTTAAATATTTTAACATTGAACTGATCTGAAATGTCAATACTAGTTCTTCTTCATTGAATAATAGTTTATTTTTTATATGTATAAAGTATATATTTTCGATGCACCCAATAATAACGAAATATTTATTTACTTCTGCATATATTTACATATTATTTCTGAAGCGATCAATGGGCACGTCTTCAACATCACAAATTTCTGGAACAAACCGTATAGTATCCTCGACCCCAACGCGAACAGGCATTAAAGTAACGCCCCAACAAATGGTAAGCACAAATACATCTGAAACAATTTTCTCCATCTTATTTACTCTTACTATGTAACAAAGGAGGAATCATTTTGTATTGTCATCATAAATATTCTGTTTGATAGCTTTTATGGTGTTAGAACTTTTATTTTAATTTCATTCACAAAATTTACGCCATATTCATCGGATATATGTTGACAAAAAAGTCTCTAGTCGGATAGTGATAATAATAATAATTACCATTATTGGTAGCTCTTATGGGATATATATTTTCCTGTGCTGATATTTCAGTAGCTTGATCTGGATTGAACATTTTTCATCGTATTGTGAGTTACGTTGATACTGTAAATAATTGAAAATGCAATTGGTTCGTTTTTGAACATCTTGTTTTGAACACTCGGGCATTTATACGTTATTATATATGCCAGAAAATTCGAGAAACTCAATACAAGGTATCAAACTATTTCACTTGAACTTCAACCTAAACCAAGTTGTTATTCTTTGCCTTCTCAGACAAAGTAATCTACAAATCGCGATCGTTCCCAGCAGTAGGTCTATACATTCAACACTCAATAGTATACACTTGACGATATTTTTAATGATTCTGTTGACGTGATGTGATGGGCATCAAAGTGCATTGGGAATTTCATCGATGAAAAGAATGCAGATCATGAATCAGTTTAGCTCGCCGCACGGCATTTGATATACTAAACCCGTGATGATATTTCTTCAAACTCAATCAGATTTTATTCTTAGAACCATTTGGATTTATTTCATCGTCTAATCATAGACGGAATATTTGACTGACAGCGAACGCTACAGTTCCAGACAGCGTATAGTGAAACTTCTCTTTCAACATCTTTTTTCTCTTCTCCATGTGATCTCAAATGCAACAGAGAAAATTGAATAATAGGTCAAATGTTTGATTGAACATATTGCTATGATAATCCGGCTATGATGAAAAAAACATTTTTTGCACAGATTGTTGATTCTTAAAACTGTGAATCCAACTCATTTATAAACAGAGATTCCATTGGTATCGTAAGTGAATTTCACTCTAACTCTAGGATTTTTATGCTGAGAAATACTAAATGATTAAAATAAAGTCATTTCTATTATTACAGTGTATTGTTATATATATGACATTTCATTTTATGTAAAATCTAAATACGAAATCAAAATATTCCAAAATGAATAGCGACTAAATGATTTTAGTGTTTATTTTAATCTGGTTTTCAGACGGCTCTAAAATTAGGTAATCAAGGTCAAAATGCACGCATCGTACAAATCGGAAATGATTCCGGATCACACACAAATCATTCAAAAAATAATATTCTGAACAATTCACATGGCATTAAAAAAGAAACGTAAGTGATTATTGCGATCACAGTTGATACAGCTCAATCTATGATTTTAGTTAGCTCCCATTTTCCTACTCAATGAAATAATATTTTCTCTGAACAGTCAATCAGTACAAAGTTTTATGCGACGCCGAAGGAATGCTGATCGCAGTGGTAAAGGATTACGTCATTTTTCTATGAAAGTCTGTAAAAAAGTCGAGGAAAAAGGCACTACCACATACAATGAAGTGGCTGATGAGCTGGTTGAAGAGGTACAGCCCATTCAATTCAATCGTAAACATCATTTATTCATTTTGTCATTCTTGTTTATGTATTATACAGGAAGCAAATGGCCAACCGTTGGACTCTTCAAACTATGACCAGAAGAATATCCGTCGTCGTGTATATGACGCTCTAAACGTTTTAATGGCTATGAACATAATTTCGAAAGATAAAAAAGAGATCCGCTGGATTGGACTGCCCACAAATTCGGCACAGGTACTTGCACTTGAATGCGCATAGATTGTAATTTGTAATTTATAGAAAACATCTGCGTCGTAGCCTGTTCATTACTTCATTACTTTTTCCTTTTCTTTATCATAACATCTTCTTTTTCATTCAAACGTTGACAGCAATGTAGTGCCTTAGAAGCTGAAATGGAGATGCGGCGAGAGCGCATTGAGAACAAACAACAACAATTACGCGAGCTCATTTTGCAGCAGGTTTCTTTCAAAAGCTTAGTTACACGTAACAAAGAAGCTGAAGAGCGAGGTCTAGTGCCATCACAAAACTCAGCGATCCAATTGCCTTTCATTACTGTCAACACACACAAAAAAACACAAATCAATTGCAGCATATCCGATGACAAGTATGCGATATATTTTTTTCTCATTCATTCATCTGTCAGTTGTGTGTGCCTGGGGAAAAAGTGATTTAATCGAATACTCTAATCTTTGTACTCGACTCACATATAATATAAGATTGCAGACTAATCAAAATACTTTTCTTCTCATAGATCCGAGTATTTCTTTTCATTTGATGATAAATTTGAAATTCATGACGATATCGAAATTTTGAAGCGAATGGGATTGCTATTGGGTAAGGATAATTCCATGATTTCAATAATACTTTTCAATAAAATTGTAGGAAAGAAATATTGAACACTAAAAATTATTTATTGAATTGCAATTTGTATTTCGAAACATATTAAATACATGTAGGTCTGGACAAGGGCGAATGTACTTATGATGACATTCAACGTGCAAAATCAATGGTGCCGAAATCATTTCAACGATATATTGAGCGTAAATATAACAATTACCCCGTTAATGTTATGAAAGAAAAACCTAAAAGAATATTTTCTTCCCATTTCCGAAAATGAAGTGTATGGCAAGGGTAAAGATGACTCAAATGATTGGGACAACACGTTTGGTGATATGTTAGATTCATCATTGGATGGTGAAATCAAATCCGAGCCATATGATACAATGTATGATGATGACGAGAACTATTCCGAGAACAGCAATTTGGATTAAATGAAACAATATGACTGTTCGCATTGTGTGGGCGTCTATTTTTTTCTAGTTTTCTAATATTTAAATCGAAAGTTAAATTGGAATCAAATTTAAGAGAAATAAACAAATGCAGTCGAATTGCATTGAATCTTTCAACGTGTCATTTTTAAAGCAAATAGGGACTAAAAGATATGTAATGAAAAGGAAAATATGACCAAATTTGACTGTAAAAGAAACAGAAGAAAAAAACAAAAAAAAACAGCTAGGAAATATAAAGCTAATTGTTAGGCATTGCATTAAACTACTTTTTAAGTGGACTGGAGATAATAAACGTTGAGGCAGTGTGTGTGTTTTTTTTTCGATAAAATTATGCAAATTAATTACAATCAAATTTTGACCTGTTTATTTGTAATTTTACTTTCTGTGAAATCCTTTAGTTGCTATGTTACAATTTTTTTAATACCTTATTTCTTAACACATATACACACATACTCAAATACGATATCTGATTGAATCGACATAAGATCGTTTTCCGCGAAAACAAGAAATGACACAATCGCTATGAGTCAAAAACTTCAAAAGCGGTCGTTACAATTCCATTTTCACGTTAAAAGAGTTTATGCCGTTTTATTTCGCACAATATGATATTTTAAATACTTTATTTGATCTTTAAAACTGTCATATGGGCTGCATAATGGAAACAAATACATAGATTTTTAATTCGGCAACCTTTTTGAAAAAATATGTCAATTTATGTTTAATTAAGTCATCTTACTTCCTAACTAGTTTTTTAATGGACTCGAAATCTATCGGTTCCTATTCATGAATAAAAATCTCAGTATGAATGTTTTATGCACTCACTAGTAGCGTTCGGATACTGTCAGACGTCGATTTCCAAATGCCTACGCGCGTTCGATAGGGCATCCCTCAAAACCTCCAAGACCGAATTCTAACCTCCCGATTAAAAATCGAATTTTCCGGTTTTGAGGGATGCCCTATTGAACGCGCGTAGGCATTTGGAAATCGACGTCTGACAGTATCCGAAC